TTGCCATAACACGCGTGAATATTGAACGACGTTCCCCGCGCAACTCGACGCGCACGTGATCAATGTTACATTGCGTTTCTCGTTATCTTCCCGCATTGCGGTGCCGTATAGTCGGGCTCTGCACGCGGGTTAACGCTTGGACAGTTGCCATGCTGCATGCATGTAGGCTGGCAGTCTCCGCGTGAAATACGGAAGCTGTCGTGAAGGGACTATAGTCGGAACGTAGTGAAACATATCGCCTGTGTCGCTCCTGCGTATATCGTCTTCGCCAACATTTGCAGCGCTTCCGACATCTCAGTTTAGTTCAGTTTATTACCTTGAAGACCCCCAAAGGGCTATTACATAAGGGGTGGTTACGCGAAAAACGAATACAAAGGTGTCCCTCACGATAAATTTGTTATAAAGCGTTGTTGCAAGTACGCTATAGCGTACTCTTTGTTGCGAATCGCTATATAGTTTCAAAATATTCTGGCAGACGTTGCAGAAACTGAAATAAGAAGGTGGTGGCAGCGATTTCTTCGGGAAAGCTGTTACGGACTGCGCAAGTTTGAAAAAAGAGAGAGAGGGAGAGAGAGAAAAAAGAATGAAGATAAAAAGCTGTGATTCATGCACGTGCACGCAAAACTTGGTGATATATTTAAAATAAAAGATGCCAGTTTGGACCTAATGTGAACTAAGTTTTTTTGCTTTATAATAATAATATTAATAATAATAATACTTGTGTGAGCTTTTTGTCCCAAAGTAAAGATTTAACTATGACGCACGCCACAGGGGAGAGCTCCGGAAATTCGGACCATTGTGCGTTGTTTTACGTGGACCAAAATTGGCAGTATTTACAATAAATACGCCGAGCCAGAGTAGCTATACTGAAATTTATTTACTTAATAGTTCATAACAAAGTAAATATTGATGCTACAAACTTCATAACAAGTTTACAAACACGCCCCACCAGACATAACCATACGCAGATGGTCACTGAATACACCTTCCATACCGACTGTTGCAAAAATTCATTTTTTCCATTGACCATAAGAGAATTGAATAACCTTCCCTTACATATCATAGAAAGCACATCACTAACACAGTTCTTAACTGCACTTGAAAGCGTACCTTAAACCCTGACAGACAGTTTTTTTTATTATGTATGAAACTACACCTGTCACAGTTCTTCATCCATTGTCTCTCTTACTTTTTTCTTTTCAAATACCAGAAACCCCACAGTATGCATTTGTCGCCTCGCTCTAAAGCACCACTGTGTAAAAATGCTTACACCATAGTATCACAATGCTTTTTCTTTTTCTCTTTTTCTCCTTTTTTTTTCTTCCCTTGCCTACGGTTTTTATATGCGAGCCTGTTTTCTTTATATTATTGTGCCACTAATCGCTCTTGTGTTGCACTTTTCTTTGTATAATTAGTTGGTGTTTCCATTGTATCACAATTTGTGTTATGTTGTATTCAACTATTGTATATGCCCTCCTGCTATGATCCCTTTGGGATTGGCAGTATTTAGAAATAAATAAAAATCGAAGCACCTGGGCCTCAGGCATTTCACCTTCATCGAAATGTGGCCGGAGCAGCCGGTGCTTTTCGACCTGTTTTTCATCCTGTCTGTAGGTCATTGAACTTTTTTGTTGTTTAACCTGGGCTGCGTCTTTAACGTGGGATGCGTGTTATGCTCCGCTAGGCCTCGAAAGAAGGAGTAGGCAGTATTGCACACAATGCCAACCGCTCCTGTAAATAAATTTAAATAAGAAATAAATAACAAAGATAAGCTTGGACAGTGCGGTAACAGACAATTGTATACAGACACATAGAACATCCGCATACGTGCCGCAAAACATCTGAATACGTGCCGCATGTTTTCGTGATGTATATATAATTCTCAGTCGTGTTGCGCTGTAAAAATGTGCGCTGAGGAAACATTTGTTGTCCCAGATAGTTTGGGTTAACGTTAAAACGGTCTGGTTGACGCCATTGTGTCTTACAGTGACCGGACGTGGCATCGACGCTAGCCTTGACGGAAGGCTTCCTAAACGAAACCAACAAGAAGCAAAACAAAGTTTATACAACGAAAAAAAAAATATCAATACACTGCAGCTATTGACGCCTTTCTTGAAAAGCTGCCAAAAACAATCATCGCTTGCATCTGACATATACTTGCGTAATCTCTATCGTTGCACTATCACTCTTCTGTCGTATATAGCGGTGCGGGGCGCGAAAAAGCGATAAAAATCGCTGAAGTGGGAACCACGACAGACACTGTACTCTCGCGGGTCAATTATCGTATCAACGAGTGTCACCGAGTTTTACACCGTGGTGAATTAGAAATGAATAAATAAAGAAGAAAATCGCCAATGATGGCAGACAAAAAAAAACAGAGCTCACACACCGCGTTCGCGTTTCCAGCTCACGTTTTCCGATTACCAGCACGCCGGTTGTGCGTGGATTGAAATGAGCGTCGTTGTCGGTCAAGAAAGATACAAATTTGCCCATCAATGCTCGTTTACATGGAACACGTTCCTCGGCTCCTCACCTTTATCGCGCTTCCCGCCTTTCCGTTAGGAGTGTGTCGGCAGGTAATCCAGAATGAGCGAGAGAGAGTCGAAGCGACACGTATACTTATACCGTAGAGCACTTACGCAGTGAAATGTATCTATTGATAACAAACGCGATGTCAGCTCCGATACGTGCGTGCCTCGGTGGTCACCGCCTCTGCGTAACGCAATCGTGCGCTTCAGCCACCTCTCGCCGTTGCTGGTCTCGCCCGAGTGCGAACCGGATTCGAAGGCATCGCGTTGCCAGCTTCCTCCGATAGGCGGTGTGTAAAGCGCGGACGTGTGCTTACACCAGACTCGTGAGCGATGGGGAGTTAGAAGTCCGTACGTTCTTGTGTACGTACGTATCGCGATCTTATGTATACCCTGATCCGACGCCGTTTCGTCGCTTCCTTATTTAACAGCGTAGCTATATCAGATGGTTCTAAATACACCTCTAGCGCTCGCAAAAATCTGAAAGTGGGTGTGCGCCGCAAAAATTGGGCACACTTTTTTGCCGAGTACAACAAGTGCGAGAGTTGAGCGAAAAACTGCTCAGTGAAGTGGAACACGTTAAACACGCAAAAGAGCGACAAGGAATGAGATTGAAAGCAAGACATATATATATATATATATATATATATATATATATATATATATATATATATATAAGAGAGAAAATATTAATGCGATAGAAAAAAGAGTTAAAACAGAGAGAAATAAAGACAGATAAAGAGAAAGAAAGAACGGGAAGAACAATACAGAAAAGAAGAGCCCGAAAGAGAAACTTAGAAAAAAGAAAATAGAAAGTAATATAAAGTAACAGGTACAGAAAACATGTACAAAAAACAGAGATAGAGGAAGGAAGAAAGGAAGGAAGGAAGGAAGGAAGGAAGGAAGGAAGGAAATAGAAAGTAATATAAAGTAACAGGTACAGAAAACATGTACAAGAAACAGAGAGAAAGAAAGAAAGAAAGAAAGAAAGAAAAGCTTGAGTGCGAAGCTACTATATAATATTTTTAAACTTAAAATATATATAATGGTATCGATACTTATAATAATTCAATTATTCCCGATATATAACGCTTTGATTGCATAGTGGTGGCTCGACAACTATCTAGTGTCGAGTCACTACTCGTAAAGTATATAGCGTCGTATTTAGCTACATTGTGGGCATTGTGGGGAGACTGGGCATAATTCACGATTGATGAAGTGCTACAGACGACTACGACGATGATGAAGAAAGGAACACAGAGTGCAATTATAGCCCATACGAGTAGTATACGAAAGAAAACTCTGAAAAAATAAATGCACCTACTACTCGGTCATTCCCTTGCAATACGTATGAGCAATGAGAGGAGAAGGTGAATAAGACTGGGTAACTACCCAGTCTTTTCTTTTTATTTATTTAATTCTTGATCATTTAACATTGCTGAAATTATCTACTAAATTTAAAACTACGACATCCTGGCCAATCCCACAGAGTGAGTATGTGCCCTATTCTGCAAGGCACAAACAAACGAGAAAAACCCGTTATGGTGGTCTAGTGGTCAAACCCGCAGGTGTCAAAGTTTAGGGAGGCGGAAATCCTTGAGGCCCTTGTCTAAATTTCCGGAGCCCTCTAATATGGCGTCTTTCATAATCATGCGGTGGTTTTGTGACGTAACACCGCAGATATTATTAGGAGGAGACTAGGATGCATTATACGGGATCAGACCTTGTGGATATGTTGTTGTGCCAGTGTACGGGCTTTATGATAAAATAAGTGTTTCATGTTAAGACGCGTAATGTTAGGGTTTACGTGACATGCTCCTTTCGCTTCCCTTGTACTTACGGTGGCTTGATTTTACGTACGCCGTAACCGGAGGCTTGTAACTTCACACGTTTTCTTTCTTCTCTTTTTTTTTCTGCACCGCGCGCCGGTTCAGCTGTTACCGAGGCCGCACACAAAGACGGTGTCAAACGCAATTCAAATACGCAATTGTTCCGATATGAGTGACGAAGTGGACTACTGAAGTGAATTCGTACCAGAAGAACCTGTTAATTAGGCCTGTTGTTTTTTTTTTACTAGTTAATGTGCGGATGCGTTTTTTTTTGGGGGGGGGGGGTGGGAGGTTGAGAGGAGATTGCTTTTGCACCTCTCACGATGTCAAAGTCAACGTATTATTCGGATATAGTTAAGCGAGAGCTCACCTGAGACATGGCACTGTATACCGTCATAGTAATTTTTTTTGGCATACTCTTCACCCCACGTCGACGTGGAGTAGCGATTGCGTGTAGCACGTGTGACGCGTCCGTATAACCAAAGTTTACATTACAAGATGCCTATAGCGCGTGGTGTGACGGGCGGACAGCGTACTGATGCAGTCTGACTACGTCGGAAAGACTGAACTCAACCTCGAGCATGTGTGACCTGTTGCGACAGCCATGGCCGATTCGCTCCGGTCTTTTCCTCCTCCTCGCCAGGAGGTGTGTGGACCGGAAAGGCCCGACCTCTGCGCGACCGACGGAGACGACCGTTGTTGCGACCGCAGCGCCTTGCAGCAGCGGCGACGCAGCTAACGACAGCAGCGACGGCGTCTGCGACTCGAGGTCGAGTGACGCCCCTCCGCGGCCCACCGCGAGCGTGGTGGACATTCAGTCCAACACCGTGCTCGACATACCCCTGGGAGACGCGCCCGGCGACTTCTGGAACCTGTCCGGCATATCGGGCCTGCCCCAGATTCTGGACCTTCCGGTTCCCCGCAAGGTGGTGGTCCTGGAGGACGCACGCTACGCCTGGCGGGCTTCTAAGTGGTCCAAGGTGAGTCTGGCTACAGATACTTGCCAGTTAAATTCATTTAACGTGAATAGATGTTGAAGCCGCGAACACCTAATACGTATTTTGTGCTGTTATTATTAGCCTGATTGAAGGTAGTTATGAGGTAAACGAAAATCAGAGTGGATGAGAAAAAGAAAAAAAATTGCGGTTGGTAGACAGCGAACCCGCAACCTCGGGCGTTAATTGCAGTGCAATTTTTTAGTACTTATGTATGTGTACCCCTGGACGAACATTACTTTCGGTATACCGACAATGCTGTATAGTCCTGGAAGTGGCACTGATCATAGTGGTGAGAGCTTCACTTAAATGATCATTAAGATCATGGTACTTAAAGTCAGTAAATTCAGCTGACAGCTGAGAGAAAAAAAAATCTTGAGCCCTAGTCTCGCTGTTCATCGCGGAATATTCTGATTATCGTTACCTGCAATACAACCGCTACTCTACATTTTTAATGTTAATTAATACTCAACAATATTACCTACACCTTCTCGTACCTAATTTACGTTTTTGTGAAACAGAGAGAAAGACAGTATACATAGTAGCCTATGCAGCATTCCACTCGTACCGCCGCCGTTCTGCGAACAATCAATTTTTCGTCCCGAAAACGCCAACTTCACCAAGCGTCAATTACAGCCTCTGCGATTTCGCGCGAGCCTGTCGCAATGGTAAGGCTGTTCGTCAATTAACACGCGCGTTAGCGTATATAGATCCACCGCCTCGAGCAGCGCCCGCTACCCGAACGCTGAGCTCAACGCTATAGCTGCAGAGACGCAACCTATCGTGATATGTGGTGGAAACTCTGATCATTGGGGATGCGTCTTCGAACCATAATGACTGGAATCACGTCGTTCCCGCTTTTCGCGACTATTGCAGTGAAAGGCGAGGTGAGTAACACTCAAAGTGCCGTTTGCTCAAGTCTATATGACGTGACAGTAAGCATCACGTTCACATTGTGGCGCAACAGACTGAGACGCTGTTTTTGTGCTCCAGAACGCTGGTCTATGCGAAATGGGGAGAAGAAATATGCCAAGGTTAAAATAAATAAATAAATAAATAAATAAATAAATAAGTAAATAAATAAATAAATAAAACGTCATCTGTTGCAGCCAGTCGTCTTCACAGGCCGCGTACCGCCGCACTTGTATTTCGGAGATGGTATCCCCGCGTGCATTACAGAACTCGCACTTGTGGCGCCTCGCACATGAAACGTCAACTTATTGTTATTTATTTGTGAAGAATTTAGCATGCTCGCGCTAAGCGAACCGTTCGCGTCAGGCGTCGTAGTACATGTAGTAGATTCCGTTAGTTGCCATTACGAACCGTCATATAAGCCAGGGACACAGATATCAAACGAAAAAGAAAATCACAGCATATACACTGAGTGAATGATGATGAGTGGGGCGAAGCGTCCGCCAGTCCGTCCGGGCTTCCAACCGTCGGTTCGTTATTGCTTCCGTGCGTCCGTCCGTACGTTCGTCTGTCTGCCCATCCGTCTGTGCGTCCGTCCGTGCGTCCGTCCTTGCGGCCGTCCATCCGTACGTCCATCTAGTGAACACTCCAAGTACCGCCATCTCGCATCTTTTCATCATATATTCATCATATACAAGTACCGCCATCCAGCGGACATTCTAAGGACTAAACGAGAGGTGGCTACAAACACGGGACGTACGACCCGCGGCGTAAGGAGCTTCGCCCCTAAAAATTTAGCGTCGGGGTCACTTCGAAAAACCCACGCTCCGCCTCTCCACGCGCTCGCGTTTGTGTATTTGCAGCCTCTCTTCGTGCATTTGCACGCCATGCCGATAGCCGACGTACCCTCAACTTTAAGTCCTTAAACCGTCACACATCTCGTTGGCGCCCGTGAGTGACCTCTGTAATGTGTTGTGTGTGTGTTGCACAGTGTTCTCGTCTGTGTGGAGGCGGCGAGCGGCACCGGCGGGTGAAGTGCGTGGACAAGGTGACGCAGAAGGAGGTTCCCCAGAAGTCCTGTCTCCTCCACACGCCGCAGCACCTAAAGCCCCCGGAAAAGTCTCCGTGCAACATCGACCCGTGTGTGCAGTGGCAAACGTCGGAATGGTCGAGGGTAGTTGTCATTTTCCTTCGATATTCACCGAGATATGGGTACGAGCAAGTCAAGGAATTTAGCATGACGTTTAGTCCACGCGCCTATTTACCCACAAGTTATTCATGGTACAGAACACCAGGGGGTCGACATCTTGCGGTGATTAACCCTCACGCCCTGTGGCACAATTATATTGCCGTGCACGCTTCATAGAAGTAGAAAGGGGCAGAAAGTCTACGTTTAAGCCATTCAATCATGTTTGAATGAACGACTGCATTAGCGTTGCATTTTTCCTTGCGTTATTCACATAGAAAATCTGCCGTGATCGCAAAATGACACAGCGAACGCGTCGTAAGGCGCCAAATGGAACAGCCGCTCTTTTCAACGAAGGCTGACGGTGCCACCATAATCCCCTCTGGGCTGTGGTAATACGCCCGAACTCCCCACAAATGGTGAGTTAATATACCCCACAAATGCACTGCTGAAGCAGTGACGTCAGTGCGCATCAGCCCTTGTATTGCCGTTCCCAAATGTTTATAGAAAAGAGGGAACCAGCGCTGGAGTTTCCACGATGAAGGCAGCGCCGCCCTGGCCGTCGAAGTGCACATTTCTCAGCCGCTCCCGCAGACGAGCGTGGTGGTCGGTAGAGGTGGTGCGGGCGCGCATCGCGGTAACAAAACCAGAGGGCGCTGGTGGTACTGCTGCGTATTGGTGCCACCATAATCCAGTGCCACTCAGCAGTACCAGTGGTGGTACTGCTGAGTATTGGTGGCAGAAAATTAGAGAGAAAGGACAAAAATAAATATTGGAAAAATAAAATATGGACAGTGTGCCGTAAATGGCAGAGAACTTAAGCTGAAAATTTACCTTTTTTTCCATTAAGATAGAATTTATCGAAGTAGAGGCATTAGGCCAACATAAAAAAAGAAAAAAAGGTTTTTTTTTTTTTGTCGAGCCTGGTGGCATACTTGTCACCACCCCGTTATAAAGGGGACGCTCATAGCATCCATCCATCGTATTCAAGTGTAACAACATGTGAAAGAGGGAGGACGTATCTGTCTACGTTCTTCCTTCTTAATCATATCAGTAAGAGAGCAGGCGACGTCGCACTCAATTGGTCAGGCGAGCAAGGTATGTTTCTTTTGTCCCTCTCCTGTCTAGCGGTGTCGGGCTGCTTTCTAAACCGAATGGCGCCTGTCTGCTGTATTTATTCGATAGTGAAGACGGCCACCAGTGGAAGCCAGGGCCAAACAGTCGAATTTGGACGGTGTTTTGCCGGAAAATAAACGAGCCTATTATGCAGCATATGCAAAAATTTTGTTATCTGACCCACTGATCGTTGAGCACCTCAGGACTTACAAAGTTTCTCATACATCCATCCACCTGACCACCACCACCGAACTCCATCTGATGCTACCGCGTGAAGTGAGTAATATGATGAGCACGTAGTCTGCATTATTGGCAAACAGTTGCGTGGAAGCAAAGCTGCCTTATACACAAGGTTTGTGCGGGGACACGTTGGCCTACGCCTCTGAACTGTTGTAAAAAATACTTTCGCACTGCACACTAGATCATGAGATGCATCTGCTTAACTTGTGCTAAAGGCGGGGTTCTTGAACAAAGCAGTGGTCTACTCGAAGCTTAACTTTCTGGAGTCAGTCGATGCGATAAGCTTCCTTTCAGTGGCTGTCGTGGCTAAGTGACAGTATCGTCGCAGCACAGACTTATCAATGGGGGCATGTCGGCCTGCTCTTGCTTAGCACAAAGCACAGCACTCAACCAGAAAATGAGGACGAAGGGAGTTGCCATCGCGGAGCAGCATTGTCCGTTCGATTCCACGCATATGCGTAGACGCAGCTCGCTTTGCATGGCTTCTCTCCGTTTTTCAGTGCTTTTTTTTTTTTTTTGCGAGAATCGCCTTTGGACATGGCTATGTTTTTAAACCACAGTGCAGCATTAATGGTGCAATGGCTTTTTTCGAGCCAGTCTTCTGGGCGCGAGCGGCTGAGTTGTGTCGCGACTCTCCGCCAGGCTTTTTTTTTTTTTTTTCCTGCGCGCCGCGTATTCAGCGCTGGTCGAAAACCTTTCGAAACGGAGAGGGGGAGCACCTCGTTTCTGGACTGCGGCGTGCGAGTATACCATCTCCCTTTTCCCTTCCCCGCAGGCACTGCGCCCTGCTCCCGACCGGGTTGCAGAAATTAGGTGCCTTTTCTCATCTTCTAACCACTACGACCACCATTAGTATACCATAGCTGACGCATTCTGACGTTGCCGCCTGGGCACGGTGCATTTTTTGTGAGGCCACGCGTGTTCATACCATAGCCCAGATGTGATTGTGGCGGCACCTGCGTAGCCTTCGTTGAAAATGGGTGCAGGCTTGCTCACTTTAGGAGGATACCTTGGTGAAGGTAGAACGCCGTGTCGAGAAAAAAAAAATTAACCATCTGCCAGGAGGGAACCCTGATGAGATGCGAAGCAGCAGCATTGCGCACGGTTGGCGTCACGGGTTGAACAGCGCTAACGCGGGTGCTGCGGTGAGCGCTGGAAGATTCGTTTGAAGCGTTGGCTGGCGTAGGTCGTGTATGTGACACGTACAGACATGTTTCGACGCGTACGCTAGGCGCACGTCAGGTTTAATGCGCGTGAACCGACGAGTAGGCGGTGTAGCGAGCGGCGATCGCGGGGAGGTCAGAGAGATTTCAAGCAAGCAGGGCGCGTGTTTTCGCGCGCGCCCGTCCTTTTGCTCATCGTCGCTCCGCGCTCTTTTGCGCGCAGCCCTTCTAAGAGCTATACAGATGCCACCATCGCGAGGCCGCTGCAAGACACGTAAGTCACGCTACAAGGCACGTAAGTACACAAGAAGCCGCCACGGCAACCTCGGCATCGTCCTTGGTGACCACGCTGCAGGTGTTGCGGGCGAACCATGGAGCAGGGAAAGCTGAAGAGAGGCTTTCACATTGCGAGCTGCAGAGCGAAAAATTTAGCGGAAGTCATGTGATTTTACAGGGGAGTTGTAGGATTATAGGAGGGCGCGCCGCTGTCTCGTGTCGTCTCCGTGCATCATCATTCCTATGACTGCGTCGGCAATGGCCGGCTGATGTTCTGAATGTGCATTTTTATGCAGCTGTTGCACTTCGAAGGTGATGCAATGCACCAGAAGCCTACAGTGAGAGTCGGTCTTCACGGTTGCGACTTCATTTTATATCGTACGAGGTCGAAAACGGTCATTTTCTAAGCTCATGACCACTTCTTCGAAAATGCTTGGCGCCGCCTGAGCTTCGCTGTTTTCCTTCGGCACTGTGCTGATGCGTGCCTCAGTGAAGGAAGCCTATAATTCAAAGACGAGAACGGCAGTGTCGAGAGATCCTGATGCGAGAGGCTGCGGTGATCCATTCTCGCGTACGATAGTCGCAACTATCGGAAAGCAGTATGTGGCCCACTGTTTCAGTCGGAACTTGCCGAGTCAAGAATTACATGTTACTGACACAGAAGATAACTTATTGTTCGAATTATCGCTTTCTGCTTGCGTTTTGCGCGCGGTAACCTCCTATTTGGCCAAGTTTATTTTTTCTTATATGGTCGCAGTCGGCCGACTCGCGCGCTGCTGCGAACATACTCGTGCGCACCTATCGTGACATACATGGCGAAGTACGATTCGGAGGTACTTCATTTGGATAAATAGCAAAACAAATTAAATAGCATTTCACTGTTACATTATGTTCCGTACCCAGAACTTACCGTATCTGAAGAAGAAAACAGTCTGTCGGGGCGATTATCCGGCTGATTCGCGCCGTTGCTCTTTTGCATTCAGTGGATTAAACGTGAAGTGCAAAGCTGCAAGTTTATTTGGAGTCACTATATGAGCTGTAATGAGGTTGCGAATGCCGCTGGGGCACTCCACTAGCGAGTATTGCAGCACGTTTCATAATCAGCACAAAAGTTTTGCTCTTCCAGCTCGTCTATTGTGATGGCGGTGCCACCCGGTGCGTCCAGAATCCGCTTGCCTCCCTCTCGCTGAAGCCCGTTGCACACGGGCGAGCAGCCGTAGCGTGCCCAACATTGCGAGGGGGAGTCCACCACTCTTCTCTGCTGTTAGCTTCAGAAAATGTGACGTAACGGCCAATCCTCAGTTTATTCCTTCCTCCATGGGGTGAACGGACGAGGCGACAGCTGCGGGCGCCGCGGCAGGCGAGAAAGAGAGAGTGACTTCAGTGCGCACTGCGAAGGGAGCGTGATGTCAACGCGCAGCAGCGGCGTGACCTACTTGGCACCGCGCCAACACCTGCGGTGCGTTCGTACAGAGTGATAGCGCTACACAGACTAATTAAAGAGCTGCTTCGCGTCTAATAAAGAGCTGCTTCGCGTCTGTTTCGCGTCAAAACTCTTACTCAGATTGAGCCTACGTTATTTCCCGCTTTCGCTAGGCCTAGTCTGTACTACATCGGTAGCGTGGTCTCAGCCTGCTGCCAACGTTTCTAGATACTAAAAACGTTGCCTGCTGCACATCGAAATATTAGGTTCAAATAACCCGCGCACGACTTGGGAAGTCGATTTAGCAATTTTTACGCGCATGCGTCTCGCGACCTTTATCTTGCTCGGATAGCAGCAGCTGGTTTCGCTTTGCAGCGTGCGTGATTTGCTTTATAGATAGACCATTGCGTGTGATACAGCATATCCTACTTGTCGCTTGTATTCTCTACAGGTTAGGCTTGATTGAGTGATTTAGTAATAATAAAATAGCGGTGGTGCCAAAAGCGCGACACAATCGTGAGACACGCCGTAGTGCTTGGTTAATTTCGAGTTCGCAGGGTTTGTATAGCGTACATCTAAGTTTAAGTGCGCGGACTTCGTTCATTCCGCCTTCGTCGAAATGTGACTTCTAAGGCCGGGATCGCGCCCACGCCCTTTGTGATTGATTGATATGTGGGGTTTAACGTCCCCAAACCACGATATGATTATGAGAGACGCCGTAGTGGAGGGCTCCGGAAATTCAGACCACCTGGGGTTCTTTAACGTGCACCCAAATCTGAGCACACGGGCCTACAACATTTCCGCCTCCATCGGAAATGCAGCCGCCGCAGCCCGGATTCGAACCCGCGACCTGCGGGTCAGTAGCCGAGTACCTTAGCCACTAGACCACCGCGGCGGGGGCCCTTTGTGTCAAAAGCTGATTGATATGTGGGTATTAACGTCCCCAAACCATCATATGATTATCAGAGACGCCGTAGTGAAGGGCTCCGAAAGTTCGGCCACCTGGGGTTCTTTAACGTGCACCCACCCAAATCTGGGCGCGCGGGCCTACAACATTTCAGCTTCCATCTGAAATGCAGCCGCCGCAGCCGGGATTCGATCCCGTGACCTGCGGGTCAGCAGCCGAGTACCTTAGACGCTAGACCACCGCGGCAGGGTTTGTGTCAAAAGCCGAACACCCTAGCCGGATTGATTGAGCGATTGAAGTGAAGAGATGGATTATTATTGACCTTAAATAGTACTGACGCATCATTTACTTTAAATAGTATACTTACTCATCGTTTACCTTGACCAGCACTGACGCATTTTTCCCAACTTTGAAGAAGCTGTTGTAGCATGTCAAAGAATAATACTACAATTCTCAATAATTTGATCCGTAGACGCCAGACCCGCTCTCAGAAACACTTCTGTTACGTCAGAACACAAGATGACGTCACGAAAAAGCGACAAGGTTACAGACGCGATGACGCTAGTGCTGCGAAAAGAAAAGATTGGAAACAGAAGTGGCACTACGCGGCTTCCTCGTGTGCGCTGCGCTCGCGTTTTTTTTTGGTTGGCTGTGGCCGCATTCGCAGGTTTGGGCCGAGAGCACTCAGGATTTTGGCACGAAATTTGAAAACTCGTAGTTTCACTTTTCTTGTATTTAGTGGTGAACCCCTTGCAAGGAGATTTATGAAGACACTCAAAACTTTCTAATGATGCTGTCTTAAGGTCATTGTCGTAGTAGCAGTAGTAGTAGTAGTAGTAGTAGTAGTAGTAGTAGTAGTAGTAGTAGTAGTAGTAGTGCATACTAATATTTGAAGTTGTACGTCTGAAAACCACGATGTGATTATAACAGACATCGCAGCGGAAGGCTTCGAAAATTTGGACCATCAGGTATTCTTATACGCGCACTGATATCGCACATTACACGGCACTCTGTTATTTCCCTTCCATCGAAATAGGACCGCCGCGGCCGAGATCGCACACGTGACTTTCGGTTCAACAGACGAACACAATAACCACTGCTCCACCGCGCCAGACAGCAGCAGCAGCAGCAGCAGCAGCAGTAGTAGTAGTAGTAGTAGTAGTAGTAGTAGTAGTAGTAGTAGTAGTAGTAGTAATAGTAGTAGGAGGAGGAAGAGGTGTTTCTCAAGTTACGTTATAAAGGTACGCTGGGGGAGGGGTGAATGAAAATATAATAAAACGAAAGGTGGTAATCTTGCTAAAGAATCATGATGATACACCGGATCCCGCCAGCCAATCGCATCTATTCGCGTTCCTACAGCCTCGCTGTCCTGTGGTCTTCACGGCCTCGAATAGGATCGATAGGTGTGCATTAACGCATTTGTGATTGCGAATGCAATATCTCGTCAATACATCACCACCCTTGACCCCCCTCCCCCATTCTTTCTGTATGCCATTTTTTCAGTGTTCAGTCAAGTGCGGGCCGGGCACGCGACAACGCGAAGTGAGCTGCCCGCTGCGCGACCGGTGTGACCCGGCGCGAAGACCATCCAACTCGAGCGCCTGCAACCGTGGTCCGTGCCACGACTCAACACCCTCGACGCGGCTGGTGCCTTGATCGCGAGCGACGGCCACCCTGTGTTGGGACTCCTTTGCGACCCGTTTGTACCACCTTCGGGCTTTTGTGCCCCCACCACGGGCCGCTGATTCGCCGCTCGCCAACACCCGTGTGATTTCGTGTTTTGTTTCATTTTTTTTATATTGATCAGTCGGATTGTTGTGGAACGCCGTCCTTGTGCCGCCGCTAGGCATTAAGCGCCAGCGTGTTGACACCAGGTGCATGTGCCATGGCGTGTCTCTGTCCCTGTCTCTCTGCGTTTTCAAGTAGCACACCCATTTTTCTCGTGCACACGTCTTTTACAGATATTGTAAGGTTATACAAACCAAGTGCGTAGAGGCTCATTTTCGCAGCGGTGAGTTTCCGATTTAAACATAAGATTACGTGTCTTCAAGTCAGTCACAAATGCACATTATAGTGCTTGCCAAATCCCTCTTCCCGCCTCATCGTACTATCTTCTCATCGCGCTTATAATCATGAATCCATATCTCACCAAATCTTTTTACAAACGCCTCCCCTTTTCCGTTGTCTTTTTTTTTGTGTATGTCTGCCATTATGATCAAAGACACACTACCAATGCCAAATAGTATTGCGCCTGACATTTAAGGCGTTTCCCCATCTCCCCTTCGCCACCGACTGTCCACCAAAGGAGCCACCTGCCCTCTTGTAGCGGGTGATGGACGTTATTGTGCATGGTACAGCGAAGTACTGCATACTTTGTACCTGTGTCTCCCCTCGAAACGTTCAATCAATGTTTGTTGCTGCGTCGCAGTTTTTTTCTTCTTCTCGAATTTATAGCGTACGACTTGACGAAGAAAATACGTCGCAAGTGCGACGGGTATGATCGAGAGAGCGCGTGTAGTGCGTTTACCTCCCTTTGTATATTTATATATAAAAATGGCAACGTTTCTCGACTCGTGTTGCAGATGTCTTCCTTTCGCTTTTTTTCCCCCTTTCTTCGCTATAATTTGTCACATGTGTTATTGTCTTCTGAGTAGAGAAAGATGTCCGCGAGTTGCATTGTTGGTGTAACGGGCAAAACACAGCTGCGGCTGCTTTTTTACCGCGCGGTCCTCGCTAAAGGGCGCGGGTTGCGGCACGGATTCCGCACGCATTTTTCATCGGACGCTCACGAGGAAAGGTGGGTATATTAATATACGGAGAAGAAAATCGCGCTCATTTCAGAGTCGTACCGAGCGTCGCGGCCTTGACCATAATCAACAAATAAGTCGGCAGGAAGAGGCAGAACAGTAGTTCAGTTGGAACCGGTTTTTCGGAGACTTTCGTTCTTTGGTCCTTTTTGTTTGCTTCCCTCGCCACGGCGTCTTGGAAGACGGCCAAAACACTGCGCGCGCACCCACAAATGACCCCACCATAGTCCGATAGCATCCGGCGTGCTGGAACGAGCCACGAGAACGGCTGCTGTTAGCGAAGCGGCAAAGAGCCCGCAGCCGCGGTTCCGTGGCTGGCGGCGTTTTCTAGCATCAGTGGCTCGAGACCCGCCAGCTGTGCTCGCGCGGGAAAGAATAGAAAAAAAAAATACAAGCATTTTTTTTTTCTTTTTCCTTTCCGGGATCTCCCCGAGCGCCTCCTCCACGACAACGCAAACCACGTTCGGCGCGACTACGGCATCGTACATCGCTCTTGTCAGGCCATCACCGGTTCCTTTTCCAGCGCTGATTTTCCATGAGGTCATGTCGCTTATTAACGACACGCCGATCCTAAGCTGCGTCCACGAGTTTCGGCCGCTCATGAGTCGTGCGCCTTCGCAGAAGCGTGTGTCACGCAGTCGTACAGCTGTGCGCGCTGGGCGCAAGCGCGCCGATTCAGAGAACAGTGCTGGCGTCGACCTCCGCGCTTTGAGCTTACTACACTTTAAAGGCGTGAGGTGGCGCTGTCGACGCAAGTGATGTGCGTGGCGCCTCGCTCTCGGAAATGCTATTGGTTGTGCGGTATTTGCGTGTTATTTTCCTCTAATGGTCCGAGCGAGGTTTAGGAAACCCATAGTGTAGATTTGCGCCATTTCGGCTGGTTGTCATTTCAGGGAGTTTATAAAAAGTGAAGTGAAGAAAGGACGGCAAAACCGAGGATTACATAAATGTTGCTAGAGAGGAAGTCATGTTAGAAAAGCATGCAAGGGAAAAAAAATTCTTGTTAAAAATGAATCCAGACCTTTTTTGTTATCTCGCCACAGGCACATAGAAGGCTAGCGTGCGTTGAAGAAAAAAAAAAGACGTTTTCCTCATAAGCCCAACGAGTTTGTTATGACAAGTTATTGCGGACAGATTCTGCTCAAAAGTGTGTCTATATGTTGCCGATTTTCTCAACAAGCTCAAAAGTATTGGCAAGCTATTAGCCCCGAGAAGTTGGAGTGGCGCCACCTGGTGGAAGGCTTGCATGACGTCACGGCACTGACTCTTCGAATCTTGGTCGCTCGCGTAAAAGGCCGCCGTGCTGCCAGCGTACACTCTTTTTGCTTGCATCACACCTAAAATAAATGACTAAAGCAGCATCAATGATGTTTCTGGTAAACAGCGAAAAACTAAGCGTTTTATTTAGGGGCGAAGCTTCTTCTAGCGGCACCCGTTCGTCCCTCGTAGCCGTTGTAGTATGTAACAAGTATAACATTTTGACCTCCAAGGTGGTGCCGGCGAGAGATTTCTTCTGTGCGTCGCTGAACAATAAAAGCTAGTGCTCAATGTGCATGCCAATGGCTACTAAGGGGGAATGAGAGACAGGAGAATTCGGCTTTTAGTTAACGCGCACGCTGCGAATTTTTTTTTGTTCAACAATGCACAGAAGACGAGAAAGGGTTGCTACGTTATACTCGCTGGGTGTAACCTCCTTAGTTTCAGAAAGGTTTAGCGAGCGTTAGGCCACAGTGCCATGAAAGAGTGAACTAATATATACCATGAACTCGAGGTGGTTAAAGGTGGGAAGTAGACCCGAAGCGCAAGCCGTAAGAAAGTGTGCGTGTGCCACCTCTCGTTTAGTCCTTGGAATGTCCGCTGGATGGCGGTGCTTCTGTATGGGGAATATATGATGAAAAGATGCGAGATGGTAGTACATGGAGTGTTGAATAGATGGACGAACGGACACACAGACAGATGCATGGATGGACGCATGAACGGATGCAGGGGCGGATGCATGGACGAACGCAGGGATGGATGCACGAACAGAAGCACGGACGGGCGGATGGACGCATGGACGGACGGAAGCAAAATGAATGGACGGATGAATGCTACGCCCCACTCTCCATCATTCACTCCGTGGATAAGCTGCCATTTTTTTTCTTCGGTAGAATCGCAACAGTGCCTAGCGCTCCATCGTACACGCTTTGATGAGGTTTGTTATGGCGTCCCGCTGCTTACCTCGAAGATAAGTTTGATTATCGGCCATGGCAGCCGCACTCCGACTGGGGTGAACAGCAAAGCGATGCATGTGCAGCATATTAAAAAAAAAATACAAGATGACGACAATTACTCTGCAGCGTGTCTCGCAATATTGTCGCGCTTTTGAAACGTATACGACAGCGCACTTGCATATCAGGTGGCGTTTTTCAGGGGCGATTCCTTTAAAAAGATGATTGTCTCGCTTCCAATGTTGGTATCTGTATCGGACGCATCGGAAGTAACTACTGACCGCGTTTTTTTTTTTTTTTTGCGCTTGCCCGATTATATCGCCGCTCGTTAGATCTTATCGTGTGTAGTTGCTCATATTTAAGCACGTTATTAGCTTCATGTTTTTTTTGGTAATAATTTAGGTACTCAGTTTCACTAGAAAACCAAGTTGAGGTTAATTGCAGAAAATGGTACTGATTTCAGATAGTGTCTGCGTGCAGCATCCTAGCAACTGTGTTGTCACGATTGTAAGTGCAGTTCAGATAGCCACCTGATGAAAAAAAAAAATTCTCACTGATTACCCCAGAACAGCTGATTACCCCAGAACAGCATCAATCTGTATATGAACATGACGTGCGAGACTAATCGTTGCGACATTGAGGTTAATGTGCCATCGAAACAGTTCATTTCGACTTTCTGGCGTTTGTTTTGCAAACTATTGCTATCAGCAGTGCTCCCACGTGAAGGGACGTTTATGACGTGGTGGTAGATGGAGTCAACTGATCACTTAAATCAGGGTATGCGACTACGTAATCCTGACGACTGATGGGAAGAAATCTGTACACGAGATCCGAGTATACCGACGTCTCAGAGTTCGGGAAAACCATTTTGTAGTTTGTAGCGTCACTTTTTTTTCTCGCTACAATAAGTGATTGTGTATGAAAGACAGATCCATTTAAAGTATCCTGCATCCCAGAGTGGCTTTCTGTCTAATGAGATACATTATTTGCACAGGCAGACATAACTTGCACGTTAAACCGCAATGCTGCGAGTAAACTGAAAACGTTCTAATTTCATTTGTAATACTCGACACAAATGTTTATTCGCACAATATATGCCAAGTTGTAATGAGTTCAGACCCATTTATCGCGAATATTTCTCAGCATTGATTTCTTCGAGTACGTGCACGGTGAAAACAACTAATGGTCGCTGTCCTGCACTTTCATTTTCAAAGTGAATCCATACTTTCTGCAGCCTAGTTAACTTTAAACAGCAATAAATACCTTTACTTTGTAGCTTCAGTGATCTACTACTCGAAAGCTAGAAGAAATGACCACAGTATCGCTGAAGAGCGGCTACACGGCGGGCTCGGAAAAAAGCGACCATCGGCATGCGTCGGCGGCGGAGGAGACGAGTCCTTGCCGTGACGTCATTTCAACGCGACTGTGGCGACGCTGGTGTTTGTTCTCGGGGCCAACACTCATGAATGCTAATCGCGGTATGTTACGTTCACCAAAAAACAACAATATCTTATTTTGCAAGTAGCCTAGCATTTACATTAACCGAGTAAAACCACTTCGTCTTCAAGCGAGCACCCCCGACAAGGCTATCGTTCCGAAATAAAGTAGGGCAAGCCTTGGCTTCCCTTCTGCCGATAGGGTGTTCGTTAAAACAGCTTCCATTCCATGATTTTGTTTTTCGATTAAATCTTCTTCGGCCAAAAAGGATCGCTGATGCACTAAAATTTAAATGTTGCTAAGATACTTGCGTTTAGCAGCTACTTAATAAATGACACAGTATTAAAAAAAACGGCAAGGAATATGTATTTCTGAAAGTGCGCATACTTTCGGAGTTGGCTCAAATCTAGTTCAGTCCTTTTCAGAAGTTAAAGGTCGTTTTTTTATGTACATACATCATTGCCGCGGAATACTCCTCCAAGCACATGCCGTCTATTCCACTTCATTTTTAATGAAAATGAAAATGCTGGGCCTGCAGACAGTGCCCAGCCATTTCATTTCGGTGGTGGGGAATATTTATTACTAGATAAATGAATAATTTGACGTATGCATGTGGGATTAAATTACGTGAAATTATTCATTTAGCTTGCTCTCTGTAGTATGCAAGCTATTTACAAAGGTAATTGCTAACAGAGTAAAGAAAACATTAGAATTCAATCAACAAAAGGAACAAGCAGGATTTCGAACAGGCTACTCAACAATCGACCACATTCATACTATCAATCAGGTAATAGAGAAATGCTCAGAATATAACCAACCACTATACATAGCACTCATAGATTACGAGAAGGCGTTTGATTCAGTAGAAATATCAGCCGTCATGCAGACACTGCGGAATCAGGGCGTCGATGAAGTATATATAAACATCCTGGAAGAAATCTACAGGGGATCAACTGCTACCATAGTGCTTCATAAAGAAAGCAACAGAATACCAATCAAGAAGTGTGTAAGGCAGGGGGACACAATTTCCCCAATGCTATTTACCGCGTGCTTACAGGAGGTTTTCAGAAGCCTAGAATGGGAACAGTTAGGGATAAGAGTCAATGGAGAATACCT